GAACAAGGCTGGTGTGAGCGTTGTTCGGTGTGCTCTTTCCCCAGCAGCGAGGGGGAAGCGTCTTGTTTCTCCGGAAAGCTTAAAAGATGTGGTAGGCAAGTCATGTGTAAGCTGGTTGTTTTTATGGTAGTTCACATGAATAGTTTTGGTAAGCAGCGACCACATGTCATCGTGACTGTTCGTCTCGTAAGGTGGCGCTCTCCAAACCTGTTTCTCTTAATGTCCCTTAACATCACTTCATGCCCAGTGTGTGCGCTGTGTAAAGTCCTCGTTTTCACTAAAGCCCTGCGTGTCTTTCTTTAACAGCTCGATGCTGAACTCTTGGCTGTGCATATCGTTCCCACTGTTCTTCCTGTTGTCCTTTCACTTATTTATTGAAACTAACATTGGCAGTTTCACTAAAGTGGTTTTGGACTCGATTTATTGAGGTCATGTTGTTAGCAGATGGTATTAGATCAGTATTGTTACTCAGTATTCCTTCATTCTTATTCCTGGCAAACAGCTGTTTTCTAGGAAGACAAATCTGCATGCAAACTTGACATTTGTGGGGTTGCTTTTATCCCTTTCCTAGTTATTTGTAGTCTGTGTTAAACTGGTTCTTAGTTGTTCAATTCTCCTGACAGCCTCCTAATGAGATTTTGGCTATCTCGTTCACTACTACAGTTTGTCACTGATAGGACCTTAGAGAACCTGAGTCTTTTGTTTTTCACTGAGTCTGAAATAACGGTGTAGAGTTGTTGTGTCTGTAGTCAGCTATGTTGTTCAAAACTTACGTCCTTTGATAGCAGCTCTGGTTTTTATATATTGTTCAGGTCTGGTGCCTTGTTTCATTAGTTTACTTTAAAAGTTTTCTGTCTTCCTTGCATTTCCCAGTAAAAATGAATGTAAATGATGGCTACAAGTATTTCTGGAGTCAGCAAACATAGTTCTGTGTGAAGTCAGTCTTTCACCTTAAAGTCAGTTTTTCACCTTTGCTGCAAAAACTGGCCAGTGGGAAAAGGTACAAGTCAAATGTATGTGTAGTGCAGTAAGATACTGAATAATGGAGAACTTAAACTTTATTGTAACTCCAGTAATGTATCTCTTCAAATATGATCCTGATGGCTGCTGGAAGAAAGGTATTCAGTGTTGGAAGATGAAGCTCTTAGTGAAATGTCCTGATGCACAAGAGCTTGCAGTTATTCACTCTGCATGTGTTCATGCTGCTTTTAACAGTCTCCTTTATTTTTCTCCTTAAATTTAAGAATTTCATGGACTTTTGCAGTAGAAGCTTTGAAATACAGACCTGACTTCTACCACAGAATTGGTCTCTCTCTTGCACCTTCAAAAGCTAGGTGAAACTGAGGGTTGATGACAGTAATAAGTAAAGCATGTTTAAGTCTTTCCTCTGTTGGGTGTTGCTCTCTTTTTGAGGCAGCCTATGACTGCCTTAATGGGATGGTTACAGAATGCTGAAGACTAGAGGCTTTTATGAGGATTAAAAACAAAGCTTTAGATGTGTGATGAAACCTGTGCGTCTACTTGGGGATCTGGAAGAAGCATGTTGATTAGATATCCTAAAATAAACAGGAGTGAGCATCTCTTAAGGAGCTGTGTTCTGTAGGCACCTGAGAAAAATAACTTTTTGAATTTCCTGCACGTTAACTTTCTTGTAGTTGAGTTTTAAAATTTCAGCAAGACTAATAGAACAGTGGAGATACTTAATGTATTGCGTGGAATGTAGTTTGGTCAACCAGGAACTTTCCTTTCATCAAGATAGGGTAACTCCCAGGTGCTTGGGGAGGATTATAGGAGACAGGTATGTTCAGTGTTGTGCTTCCTCTATTAGACTCTGTAAGAATGTGAGAAACAGCAGTTCAGGAACATCATGAGCGTGAGGCTACACCTAAATAGCATCTGAGTTAATGGTCAGTGAAATTACGGAGCCTTGCCTCAAATCTGTTTATACTTCTGAGCTGCAGCAAGTTTTTCTGTGCAGTACAGAGCATATTCCACTGTTGCACTGTAGTCTCCCTTGCTTACAACTTCCAGATTCTTTGGGCTTGTTCTTGTTTGCTTGGAAAGTTGTTTGAGACCTTAAGCTGCTTCTTCTAGGTTAGGGGAGCCCTACAATAAGAAAATGGATCAGGCAGAGCTGAGTTTTGTTCTAGCCCCATCTTCTGTTCATCATCAGATACCTCAGGGACATGCTAGGTAATGCTCAGGAAAATAAAACCAAGTTAGCTTCAAGCTGCTGTTGTGGTTTGTTTTATTATGAGAAGAAACAGGAACTCTATTCATATTAGTATAGGCAAGATGGAAGTAAGGTGTTAAAGGAACAGAAGTAATTTCTGCTGTGAAACACCAGAATGTCTGGAAAGGCAGTGTTTTTGACATCTCACTAAATAGAACCTAGTTATGCTCTGTTACATGGAACCACAGATCAATCAGTGGTTTGTTGAGAGCAAGACTGTAGGATGTTGATATTAATGACACACTTCCGCTCAGGACAGACTTGGCTACTCTGCAGGAAGTGGGGTGAATGCTAGGGTATAAAGTCAATGTTTTGACATGTCTGATCACAGACTAGAGATATTTGTCTGTGGAGACATAGAAACAAGAACCAGTGAATTACTTCATGATTTCTAACTCTTAATATTTCAAAACTGAAAGCATTTACAAGGCAAACAAGCTGGATGATATTTTCCTTAAAAATTTATTTGAATAAAATTTAGATATTAAACTTGATTTGAAGATTAATGCTACTTTGTGCATGCATCCTTAAAAGTTAAATCCTTCATGTTAATTCTTATAGAATATTAGTTCTTGTATTAGCCCTTAATAAAAGTTTGCTCTGCTTCATGGTACTTTGTCTCTTAAACTGGGTATTGCTGTTGACTCATAACCACTGTGAATTCTTGCTTGTGAATCTAGGTGTTGTGTGTTCTGTAGTGATCACTTTTAAAATGGGATGATGTCCCTCCTAAATTGGAGTGATGGAACTGAAGGATGATATAAGGAATAGGAGTTACCACGGCAGACAGCTGGGCTCAGGACTGACATGGGGGAAGCTGGGCATTGATGTCAGAGGAGATGGACAGTACAATGTGAGGAAAGAGGAAAGGGTAAAAGATGAAACAGATGTGGAAAACATGTGCTATGATCTTATGGACTATTGGATAATGGAGCGGTGAAAGGAAGGAAAACAGATTATTTTTAGTACTTTAATAAAACTGTAGTAAATATCTCCTCTGGGTTGTATGATACAACATGGGATTAGGCTTGTTTGACCAAGACAGAATCTTTCAGAAAATACAAAGAGTGCATTGTGTTTTGTTTCTGAATACAAACTGTATGCTAGGCATACACACAGGTATTTCCTCTTTTGCATGAAGTTCCAGTGGAACTGTTAGAAGTTTGATTTATTTTACTCATCAATACTTTATTTGCTTGTAGGAGCACCACAACCAACTTACAAAAATTTCAGTCTACAGTTTGACTTTTACAACAGACAAAGATAAATGTATAGTTAAGAAAACTATCTCAGACCTCTGTTGCCTTTCAGTGAAGTATAAGTAAAAAAGAAAGGAATGTTCACAGTAAGCCTCGCCGTGGTGTAGAGCTTCACAGTGCAGAGATTTCTTGTGGAACACTGTATAACATTAAAATAGCTTGTGTTCTCATAGCACTGCTGTTTGCTGTCAGCCTTGAAAGAATGTGTTTCAGACAGCACTCTTGATATGAAGAAGAGATAACTTGTTCCTTCATTACTTGAATCTAATAAGCAATGTTTTTTTCCCCCAGTATGTTTACTAAAAATCTGTTTTTTATTTTTGGAATTACCTCTAGCACAAATGTCCAGCTATGACTAAGTGATGGTTGGGTTCAAAGTTTACAGCATATGGTTTGCTGCAGCAGATATCCATGGGCTCCCTGATGAGAGTGGTGAGCAACACCCAGCATCAATAGACCTATATACATCTTCTGTAACACTGATTAAAAAAAAAATACCCTGAAAAGATCTGGATTTGGCATCCAGGGAATGTTTTCCACTTTTTACTCATTTTCTGGGTATAGTTGTTTACTTCCCTGCTGAGTGGGAGATGAGAAATTGCTCTCAATTGTGGTAAGGTTCTAGGACAAAAAACAGGACTCATTTGGGATCCCTCTCCTGCCCTAACTTTCAAGACCCTATTAATATAGCTTAACTGCTACTTGACCTGACTGCATTTAACTTCATGATGTCTCACAAGTGGTGGCTCTCTAAGGCTTCAGCACTTGAGGAAAGACAAGTCTCCCTAGACAAACTTGGGGAATATATTTTGGGGGTAGAGCTGAATGTAGTCTTTGGGTATTGCAAACTGTGCAGTTATTCCCTATACTCAGGTAAAAGCCAAGAAGAAGAGGTTTTCCTTTAGGAAAACAGTGCCTTTATTGAACCAGAGATCTGTAAGCAGCATGGTGTCTCCCTTCCTTGGCAATTGCAGGTTTCATAGTGGAATCAGCTGACATTCATAGAATCCTAGCATGGTTTGGGTTGGAAGGGACCGTAAAGTTCATACAGTTCCAACCTCTTGCCATGGATATAGACACCTTCCACAAGACAAGGTTGCTCCAAACCCCGTCCAGCCTGGCCTTGAACACTGCCAGGGATGGGGCAGCCACAGCTTCTCTGGGCAGCCTGTGCCAGGGCCTCACCACCCTTTACAGTAAAGAACTTCCTAATATTTAACCTAAATCTCCCCTCTTTCAGTTTAAAGCCATTCTCCCTTGTCTGGCCCTACAGACTCTTGTAAAAAGTCCCTCTCCAGGTTTCTGGTAGCCCCTTCAGGCATTGGAAGCTGCTTTAAGGTCTCCCTGGAGCCTTCTCTTCTCCAGGCTGAACAAGCCAAACTGTCTCCGTTTGTCTCCTTACCCAAAGGTGCTCCAGCCCTCAGTGTCTTCATGCCTCTTCTGGACTTAGTCAAGCAGGTCCGTATCTTTCTTGGGTCTCCAGAATTGAGTGTAGTACTCCAGGTGATAACATCATGTGAGTGGAGTAGAGTTGGTTTGAACTAACAAGAAGAATGGTGCGTTATGAAACAGTACGGTGTGACACATCATCAGCCTGCAATTTTGGTATGATTTGGTACTCTGTAGTGTTACAATTGATAATAATGGGGTGTTGCTGTATTGCCTACCATTGTTTGACAGCCTGTAAATAGGAAAGTGCACAACTGCGAAGCATTTCTGAGAAAGAAGTTTTTATGAACCTTCAGCAAAGTTGAGGTCTTTCTTTCTGTAACTTCAGAGGCAATCCAAAATCCAAATTTTCCTCATTTGTGTGGTGTTGTATTCACATCTGCTTTTAGCTGTTGGCTGGTAGTGGTGCTTCCTATGTTGTATCTTCAATAAGAAGTGCCAACATGCTGCTTGAGGCATTCAGAACAGGGAAGCTACAGATGAAGAATTATCTAGAGGTGTGTATGGCTTTCGGTTGGTCATACATGGAAAGCACTTGCATGATTAACTTCAACAAATGGTCAGAAGGTGACCTTTCCTGAGGTCTGAGTAGATCTAACGGCTTGTGGAAAGGGACAGACTTACTTCTGGTGCTTCCCTTTCTTTTGTTTCTGTGCTCATCTGACCTGTTGATGAGCCAATTCTGCTAACAATAGGCAGTAACAACAAAACCAAATGTAGCACAAAGTCAGATTTTTCCAGCTGATCTTACAAATGGAATTACCTCACCATGTAGTCAGACAAACCCAGGGATAAAAGGGGTGGGTGAGTGAGTATGATCTGTGTGGCTGAATAAAGGAGTGTTGAGAAGGATGCATTTTAGTCTTCAGGCTCTTAAAGTAATCCGAAGATCTGTGTTGCCCCCAAACTGAAATCTATTAGAACAATAAGGTTGAAACACAGTGGAAATGTTAGCTAAGTTTACGAGTTTCCACACAGCTTGCACTGTATCAGGGCAAGTTAACAACTTTTCTTCATGAAGATCTTTGCATCCTTTTTTTAAAGGAACAAATGCAAAATGTGATGTTAGTGACATTAGTAGAATTTAATGTATTTTAATATCTTCCCTTAGAAAATGAGCAGCATGGATTCTTCAGCAATGTTCATGGCTCACATTCTGGCTATTCAAAGTGCATATTTATGAGTTGTATTTAAAATATGGTTTCGTTACAGGAACATAAATTCTGACTTTCAAACAGAAGTATTCTGGAGTCTTGGCTTTTAGAAGCTGTCGTATGCTATAGGAATTATGCATATAGTAAGCACTTCAAGGCCTGTGGGTTTTGTCAACAGAGTGAAACTGGATATTACAAGCTGATCTCTGTGTTTGACTGAGGTCTCTATGCTGCTGCTGCTACTATAGGATTTAATTAAAATTCTAATTCCTTTCAGAAGATAACCAATTTAGCTTGTAACCAAAACCCAAACCACTTGTTTGAAATTATTTGCCTCTGTGATATCAGCTATGAAAGCTTCATTGTATTTTAACAAATGGGTGTAAGCTCAAAGAACTTACTTGGAGTAAATTTTTTTTTTCCTCAGGTCTTATCTACCAACACTGCATAAACTGGTACTCATGGCAATAAGTACAGACATTCAAGCAGTATGTACACATAAGCAGTAGTTGTTACATGCCTTATATCTTCCGAAGTGAAAGTTACTGGAAAAGCACCTAGTTAGTATACTGCTTTACTGTTCTCTAGCAGTGATTGTTGGCGTTTAGTTTGTGAGCAAATAGTGTTGCATTTAGTTGCCCAAAAATAATGACAGTAGAAGGCATACTAATAAAGACACTAGTAAACCCAGTTTAGCTTAGAGCTTTGGTTTTACTTGGAGCTATCAGTGGTGAAAAGGCACAGTGGTAAACCTGTATGTATTTCTTTGAAGGCAGCAGTGTTCAGCTTGAGCTGTGTTTGCATAGTAGTTTATTTAGCTGCCAAGCATGGACTTTGATTAAAATTCACAATATCCAAACTTTGAAGTCCAAGGCAGTAAATTGTTTTGGTTTCTGCATTAGCTGCCAGCTGTAGCTACAGATTTCTTTCTTCACACTACCTCCTCTTTCATTTTATAACCTTTGACTCTTTTCAACCTGTCTTGAATGTTTCTGCCGTTCTCATGACATGGTTTCCTGGTGGTTTTAGTTTTGCTGTGCAGCCTGCAAGCTTTGTTTTGGGTCTTCTGAGTGATGGAGAGCAACTGAATGGGAAAGGGGGATTATTTTTATGCTCACAAGAGCCTTTGTTTCTTTGTGTTTAATCCAGCAAACCTGTTATTGCTTATGTCTCCTTTCTTGCCTCGATTTGCAATATCTGACTCCCAGTGTTGGTGGCAAACTAAAATTACTGTGCTTACTGCTGTGGCCCCAAGGGGGCTTCCAGTTAACTAATAGTTTTCCAGAAAGACTTCAATGCATGTAAAGGCATTACTAGACTTGGAGAAGGAAGTTCTGAACTGGCTGAGCAGGAAGGGTGTAGCATGTCCTTTAGTTTAATAATCTTTCAGCTGGAGATTTTAGCTCAACTATCAGTGCCTTAAGAGTAGAGTAAGTGGTACTGAGAACTTAAGTTTGTTTTGTGGAATTTGTGTCCAAACTAAAGGATATCCTGTGGCTGGTTTTACCTCTTGACTCTGAGATTCTGAAATACCTTTCCCTATAATCTTGGTAACTTCCCTATAATCTAGTAACTTTTGTACTTTGACTGCAATAATATGTGTAAGAAAATAAAAAAGTTAGTGAAAGATGAAGCTTGAAAAACTGTGAAGGATACCTTAGAAACAAATACTAAGTGTGGAAAAGCTTAAGAACAAACTCTGGGAGATGGTGTTGTAATACTAAGTTTATGCTTATTTATGTGTGCTGAGAGAATTTAAGAATTACTGGGAATGCTTTATTTCTGTCAGTTACTCACACACAATGCATTTCCTATTTATGTGCACAGCTGCATATAACTGACACTGTAGGTATCAAACCACTGACTTAATTGTTTAGGTAGTAGTCTACTGACCTGCAGTGGAAGGAACACATTGCAAAATTATTTCCTTAATTTAGGAAGTTTTTCCTTTGTTTTAGTTTGCTTAGTTTCTAGAATATGAGGAATTTAAGTGGGAAGATGCTGTTATGTACAGCATGTGTTGAAGGTACAGTCTTTGCAAAGTAATAATTACATTTTCTCTCTTTAGGAAGTACATGTAAAGGAACCCATAGAAAAAGAAGTAAATCCTCACTTATTACCAGGTAACTGCTGTATATTGTATTATTACAATTAAAGAATAAAAAATCAGTGAAGTAAACGGTATTTAAATATTTCAATGTCTGCAGCAAATACTTAAGTGACATCAGTGCCTCAGGTAGTAAAATAGGTTTGGTGTAACATGGGTTACGCCATAGGGTGGTGTTTCAATGTGAGTTGAAACGCATGGGTTAAAATGTTTCAAGTATCTGTATCTACAGTAATGTTGAAAAAATATATATTTGAATGTTTGAGTATAGCATTTTCAAGTAAGTTGCATATGGAGAACTGTCTATGCTTCAGTCAGCCCTCTTCTTAGAAGATAAATTCAGGCAGTTTTGTGTTTTGTTGTGGTGGTTTTGGATACTGAAGGCCAGTAACTAGCGGAAAGAATTCTAGTTGCTTTGCTTCTACTATGAGTTACATAAACTTTTTGATGCCTCATTCACTGTTAAGATTTTTGGTTTGGGTTGGGGTTTTTTTCTGATTTACAATTCTTTATTTTAAAAAATGTTTTCAAAGATGAGGAAAGATGATGTTACTAAGATAAAATACAAGTAAAAGTTTATAACAAGCTAGTATTGTTATGTTGTTTGTTTGGTTTTGTAATAGGAAAGACCAAGAGACTGTCTGATTAAACCTCCTAGAATCTGGTTTTAATTTCTTAAAATTGAAGTTCACTTCCTGTTAACTTAAAGATTAGAACTGCAGACTTGTGTTTGAGAAATTTAATATATCCCTGGGACCTGTAAAATAAGCAATATCTCCAGTCAAAGCTATGAAAAACTAACTGTGATAAAGTTGTAATAATAAAATCAAATGTTTCAGCATTTTTAGAGCTTAACAGTAAAGAAAATTGGAACAATTCTAAACTTGTTTGACTGTATAAACTCCTTTTGGTGGGGTTTGGGTTTTTTTTTTTTGAGTACACATTCATATAACTCGTCTTTGCAACTCCATGTGTTGCTCTCCTACCACTTAGAGCAGCCCATGGTAGAGATATTTCTGTTTACAGAACTAAGTCTTTGCAGTTGAACAGTGTTCAGTAATTCAGTAATACTAATAACCTGGAAGGCTTTCAAGGTACAGATTCCAAGAGCTGTCTCTTAATCTTTTTGTGTAACAGTGATGGAATATTTTCTCATGTGAGAAGCTGTGAGGAAGTTAGCGCTGAATTTAAGATAACAGTTTAAATAATTCAATTGTAAATGTCAGTTACGTTTCAAATCAGTGTTTCTTTTGTACAGGTGAACTGCTGCTTTGTGAGGCAAGCACAGTATATAAATATATACAAGAAGATGGCTCAAACCGTGGCACCTATGGGAAACTCGTGTGCACAAACTTCAAGATTGCTTTCCTTGATGATTCTGCTTCAGATGATAATGTAGGAAGACAAGTCTTCTAATTATGACCAAATAGGCTCTGAAGACATGTAGTATCTCTGACTAAATATTCCTTATATAAGGATACAGAATGAATATAGCTTTTAAAAACAGTTTTAATGGGTGCAGATTAATTTTAATGGTCTGCATCCACTTGATCTATGCAGATCCTTCCTCAAACTATCATGACTATTTAAGTAAAAACAGTGCAAGCCTGTATTAGACATATTTTATATAACTCTTTGTATCCTATGCATTGGTAATTTTGTGAAGATTAAGTTAAAAGAATGGTTTTGAAAAGTAATGGTCTGTTTAAACCTGATTTCTGATTGCTTGTCTATCACAAACTGCAGAAGTGTGAATGTTGTACAGTATGCATCTGAATTTAGGCTATATCTGCAAAACCATTTCAGGGCTACACAAGACTCGGTAAACTCTTACTCAGTGGAAATGCTGTATTTAACTGTTTGTGTGGCTCAGTAAAGCTCTGAATTATTCCATCCAAAGTCAGGGGTTGACTGCAAAAAATTAAAAATCAGATACTCTTGAGCTGTCAAACATTAAAAAGTTAAAAAGTTGCCAAGTCTTAAAGTGAATTAAATGTTGTTTTGTTTAGGTGCTCAAAGAGAGCTCTCATAGGGGACTGGTAATGCCACACCTTTTTTTGATGTACTTAAGTATCTGAAACAGTCTGGTCCATTTAGGTGATAAAAGTGAAGGAAAGCCTAGAATATGGCTCTCAAGTTCGATATGATCTTAACAGTGAAGAAGAAAGTGATTTGATCGTAGTTGGAAGTTTCTTGACGTAAAGTTTTAGGGAGATTAAATGTTACACTAGGGCTTCAGCAGCCAAATACAGATTTTTGGACCTGCAGAGCCCTTTTTACAGATCACATGAGATTTGTGCTAATGTTCATAGTAAAGTTGACCATGGTAATTTCTGTTCCATCACTAATTTTAAATCTTGGGTTTATAGCACGTTAAGTCAACTGTATTTCACTTAACAGAAGTTCAGTATTAGCTATCTGTTTCAGAGTATTACAGATGTGGAAATATCTTGAATGTGGTTGAATCTGTTCACAGCTGTCTTCGTGTAAAATGTAATTTGCTGATGTAGTGTACATCAACCTTCTGGTAATAATACATGTATAACAATAATAGATAATGTAACGATGTTTAATTGTGGCATCACTCAAATGCCATTTTTAAACTCTGAACTCAGGGAATTCTAAAAGTGAGTGGAGCCCCAAATTACTTAGTTTACCAAAATAGTAGATAAAATAATTTACCCACTCATAAATATGGCTGTTATGGTATAATATTCTTGGGATACTTGTTCTTTGAAGAGATTTTCTATTTCCTGCCAGGTTCTCATAGCAAGGAAACTTGTCATAAAAGGGCTTGGATTACATCAAGTTACTTTTTTTCCTGTTTACTGCTATGATTCTAGTTTGAAAAGCAACTCTCAATACAAATTTATGCTTTGAAGCTATTTGAAAAATGAAACTCTATCTACATTTCAGCATGGCTGAGACAAAACTGGATCTGCAGTTTATAAACTATGCCTATGTGTAACCTGCATCTGTTGGTATTTTAACAACTGTTCTTCAGTGTTCTGCCTTAGCAGCTTGTAAAATAAGTAGTTCTGACATTAAAATACGTTCTGAACACATCATGCACTTGTGTTTAAGGTGCTACTGTTTAGTATTACGACATTTCTAAGAACTTTTTTCATGTTCTAGGAGCCGCAATTTAAGAATAAGATTGTCGGAGAAAATGACATAACCCTGCAATGTGTAGATCAAATCTATGGAGGTAAGTCAGCTTTCTCCTCTTGTTTTAACGTGCCTCAGACTTCTAAGCGTCTTGTAGTCTTGTGCTGTTTGTACATGTACTTCCTTATTAGAAATCTGATTGAGTGGACATGGCGGGGACCAGGATTGGGTAGTCTAGTAAAGACAGATTCAGATATATTTGACAAAATGACAGATAAGAGATATAGAAAACTGAGTCTTATCCCTAACGCTTCTTAAAGCTACATTTTTATTATCTTGTCGGGATAGACAATACCTTCAAAATGCCATGCTTTGAAGAAGAGTGTACTGTGGAAAGTCTCTGATTAAGGTTGGTACACAAGGATCTTCCAGTGTGTTGACTAATCCTATAAGTATGGAGATGTTCATTTCATTTGAGCAATAGCACTGCAGAGCAGTACAGATAGCAAATTCCCAAACAATGCTTTGTTTGTTTAAAGGAGCTTTGTTTTACGAGATTCATGGTTTCTTCAAAATAACAAAGAAGATAGAAAATGAGGTTTTAATTTATAATTAAATTGGTGAATGTTTTGCAACAGGGTTTACAGATATGCCTGTATTGCTAAAAAAGCTAAATGAGAATGGGGCTGGTCATTTGTAATTAGTAGCAAAGGCTTTATTGAGAAGCCTGACCTTGGACAGGTGTCAGAGTATTTAGAATATGTATGAATGGTGGTGTGGATTTGTGAAGGAGAGAGACTGGTGAAAACTGGTTATAAGACACTGTTTAATCTTGTATACAGTGGCCTAGCTGGCAGCAGTTGAAGTTCTGAAATTATATATACTCAAACAGAAGTGAACAAAGGGCTCTCCTGGGGACTTATTTTTTTTTTTAAGCCACCACAAAGTAAGTAGTTTTTAGGAACATGGAAAGATCTCAGTTTGACTTTCCTTTGGGAAGAAGTACTAAAATATGTTCTTTGTGCATCTCAGAACTTTGAACTTACTATACAGTCAGGATGTGAACACAAATAATCACTCAGCAGCTGGCTTGTTGAAAGTTTGTTTTCTACCTTGCAGGAAGTACCTTGAGTTGGTTTAAGAAAAATAAAGTATATTAGCACAGGAGCTTGTGTGTTATAGGGTGTATGTTTTTACTTGTTAACACTTGGGCTTGAATTAGTTTCTTTTAAAATTTGAAGAGTCAAGCAGGGGTAGCTTTATCAACAGATAATCTTTCTGGTATTTACTTAGACTTTTTAATTTTGCAGTTTATGATGAGAAAAAGAAACTTCTAAGTGGACAACTGAGAAAATACCCAGAGAAGTTAATTATCTACTGTAAAGACCTTAGGGTATTTAATTTCTGTCTGAGATACACAAAAGAAGAGGAAGTGAAAAGAGTAAGTGTAGTAACTTAATTTTTCTTTCTTAAGCTTGGTGTTGAGCGTTTAGTTGTGAGGGTAAGGGAAGGATGAAATTCATTGAGAGATCCATTAATGTATTTTCTGATCATTCCCAATTGAGAGAAAAAAAGGCTGATTTCTAGCTGACCTTCCTCATTAAAGATTGTTATGTATAGCAGCTAAAGATCGGATGCACTGGCTTATTGAAGAAAATGGGAGTACTATATGAAATCAGCTCAGGCAAATTTGTGAAGCTGTTCTCTTTGTGATATATAACCTTATTATTTTAGACTTCAGCATTTTTCACGTGAAAACAGTTAGTTTCCTGTTAACTAGAGTCCTTTTGACAGGTTAATTTGAGCTCCAAACTAGGAGTCTATTGCCTGTATTTAAATAATGATCATTTGGAAGCTAAACATGTATAATAATACTTGCTGTTAAGCCACGTAGGTATAGTATCTTGCAGGCAGCAGAGACAGTTTTCTAAAAATCAGTTTTCAGCTGTTGGGAATAGAACCCATTGAACAGTTTTGTTTAAAACTGGACTGGTAAAAAGGTTGGGTTTTTTTTTATGTTGATAGTCTTGACCTGGTTTTGGATGCTAATTTTTGGTCCTTTCCTAGATTGTCAGTGGTATACTTCACCATAGCCAGACTCCTAAGCTGCTTAAACGCTTGTTTCTGTTTTCTTATGCATCAGCTGCCCCCAAAACCACAGGTAAACGTTTTTTCTATTTTTGATTTGTCTTTGTTGCATACTGTAAGTTCCTTAAGCAGTCTGGAATGCTTATTAGCTGAGTTTGTGACTCTGCTCTGCTGGCAGATGGCCCTCAGAAGGTTGATTTTTTTTTTTTTGTTGCTATACATTGTTGGATGTGTCGCTAAAAATCTCTTAATTTCTGCTGTTGGTTTCTGTGTCCTTCAATGTAGTTACACAGAAGCTTTCCAAGCAAGAGTAGCATGACTGGATTGAAAGCTTACATATGTGCAAATGTGTTTCATGTGCCTCCGACTGGAGTCGGAGCTTCTTTCTCATCTAGGAAATGTTTTGCTTATTTTATCAGAGTGGTTTTTTTGTACTTACTGTTGAAGTGAACCAAATGTCTTGCTCTTAATTATTAAATTATTACATTTTCAGTGGCATCTGACAAAGTATTTCCCTGTTTGCTCTTATTTGCAAGTGATCTGCTTCTCCTAGGCAACTGCAAAAAAAAGCACATAGGTTTGCGTAGCAAGATTTCATTAGACATTTGACTTCCTCTTATAGCTAACTTATTACATAATCTTCCCACTTAATCAATCTTGGCTGAGTAGTATAGTAAGCTGCAAAATTTAAGATAAAAAGTTGTCAGTGCACTTTCTAGCATTTCAAAGTTCAGACTTTAACCAAAGTAATAGCAATATGTTGAATTAAGAACCTGTTTCATAATTCACCAGGAACACCTATTCCTTTCACAAAGAGAAGTTTTGATGTACCCAAATTATTAATCAGACATTTATCAAAATATGTCAAGGGATTACAGAACCATTGAGGTTAAAATAAATGTGTGGAGATCATATAGTCATGTTCCTGTCCATCTGCACCTCTTTAGAGTAGGAGTAACTGTGGCAAACTTGCCAAGACATGTTCAGTTGAGTTTTGAACACCTCCAAGGAAGGAGACTCCACAACCTTTCCAGACAGCCTGTTTCATTATTTGACTGTCCTCATGGTGAGAAAGCATATGTTTAAATGGGATTTGCTGTACTTCAGCTTGTGCACGATGCCTTTTGTCATGTCACTGAATACAGCTGAATCTAGATCAATCTTCTTTATTCTCCTCCCCTGCTTACACCCCCAGTCAGGTGTTTATACACACTGAAAAGATTTATTGGCCCTCTGTGCCCTTGCTAAGCCTTCTCTCCTCCAGGCTGAATGATCATAGGTCTCAGTCTTTCCTTGTACCAAGTGCTTCCAGCCCTTTGATGATGGTAATGGGCTTACTCTGTACTTGGTCCAGCAAAGTCTGTGCCTGTCTTGTGCTGGGGAGCCCAGCCCTGGACACAGCGCTTCAGGCAAGGTCTTGCCAGTGCTGATCTGAGAGCAACAATCACCTCATTCAACCTGCAGGCAATGGTTTTCCTAATGCAGCCCAAGAATTCATTGTCTGCCTTTGCTGCATGGGCATATTGCTGGCTCAGGTAGTTCCTGCAGCCTTCATTTGTAACTGGTTTTCGGTTTGAACTACAAATGTCAGAAAGACTGTAAGCTTTTTCAGGTATAAAGTGAATGTGGGAGAAGCCTAGTCTTAATGGAATTGAAGTGTTGTGCCAAAATTCTTTCATAGTTTAATAACTATCTTCAATAAAAATTGCCTAGTTTCACTCTTTATAAAGTTGTTACAGGACAAACGAAGTAGAGTTTAGAAATTGGTGTTTATGCCTTTTAAGGCCTGATACTCCTAAAATCTTAAGTTGTCCCCTAGAGCTCATTAATAATACTTGGTTTCCAGCTATAAATTTTTCATCTACTTTATCTTGTTGAGGTGGAAAGTTTCAACTTGCCATTGTACCTTCTGTGGAAATTCTAACTCTGTTTGATATTTCCGTGTTAGCTGATGTTGCAGGAAACTTAATTATGATGGGTGTCTAAAACAATTGCACTTACTCCATAAATTATATGTCTATTATACAAGATCTGAGGCTAAATCAGCCTTCTGTTGTAATTCTTGCTGAGGTGGCTAAATAGAAATACAGAAATTCTCAGCTGAAATGATTGAGACTTAAATTGCTGTAGTCAATTTTCTTCTCTTATCAAGTGCCTGAAATGTTCTGTTCAGTGCAAAATTCCTATCCATGATAAAAGAATGAACTTTAAATGAAATGCAATACCTGAATTGCAGAAGGGCTTTTGGTATGATTACTTATTCTACATTTAAGTCTATTAGATGCCAGTCAGCTGCACTAGTATACAGTGGCATTTGCTGCTCAGCATCCAGGGTTTTAGGCTGGAAGTGAAGACAACCTCAACTGTATTAAAGTTCTTTAAGAACAGTAGGAGAAACTGTTCCTAAATTTTTTTGTTAAAGTGGTATTTGACAGAAAGATAAGCTGTTAAAGGTCAGACAGAAGCAGTGTGTTATACAAAGGCGTTTTGAGTTGGCTTTCTGTACATAAGAGGTCTTGCTTGCTTATCTTAATGAAAAATAGTTGATATAGGAATGCTTTCTTTTTAGATTTCCTGATAGTCTGCAAAGTTAACATTTTTATATCTGATAGATGGAAGAAACCAAACTGTAATGTTTGATACTCTTGAGGACTGGCGTGATGAGTTGGAGCGGACCAAAGGGAATGTGAAATACAAAGTAGTGACTACCAATGAAGGCTACAGAGTCTCTGAAAAGTAAGCTTGCCCTGGTTAATTGTGAGCTTTGGATATAAGTCTCATTAAGATTTGAAAAAATCAGTGCTACCTTTGAGCATTGTACAACTGTTTAGGGGTTTTTTTCTTTTAGGATCTGGTTTCCATTTTGATTTATGGGATACTTTTGATTTGGGACCTGAGGAGATGATCTTACACAACCCCTCTTCCAGCAGGGTTAACTTCAACATCAGGTCAGGCTGTTCAGGAATAGAAAATACGTAGGTTTGGTACCTACACTTCTGTCCTACTTACTGGTTAGGATGACATTTTCTCAGTCATGTACCTTTACTCTGGTAAAATTTTAAGTTAGATGCACTTGAGACTTTCTGTTTTACCTGTGGGACCTAGTGGGGAAAAAATGGTTTAAAGCATGTCTGCAGAATGGGCTGGTGGAAGTTGTGTTGCCTTTAGTAGAAAGTTAGAGATGTATGCTTCTACCAGTTCAGCTAGTAGCACCTGTTGGTGAACCTATTAGGATGTATACAAGGCTTTGTGTACTCCTGTTTAGTAGTCCGATCCTGAAAGGCTACAAAGACCTTGGCAATAAAGACAAACTTTCACTGGAGTCTTAAATATTTATTGTACAGCTGTCTTGAGAGACCCAAGCTGAGGTTAAGTACTTATCTTTGTTTCTTTTCTGGGCCTTGAACATTAGTAGTGTTGGTTAATATTGGAAATTCATAATAAAATTATATTCTTTTAATTGTGATGTGAATGGCTTAGAAGGCATGGAAACAGAACTAGTTCTCTAATACTAAAAAGGAAGCTTTTTGAAAAACCAAGTGAGAGAACTGAGGTGGTATTGACAGCCAATGTTACAATTAAATGTAGGGCTTAATTGCAGGCTTGGAAAGACTGCAATTTAGTGGGTAATGTTGCAGTGAAAATAATAAAGAGCTCAAGACTGGAAGAAACTGTATCCAGCTGAAAGTAAAGGGAGGGTGTTGAGGACAATATAATTATATTGCAGGAAAGATTATTGTAGCAGTAAGGTGAATATATAATTAATGTGGGCTAGAACACTCATCAGTGAAATGAACTTTGAGGTTGTTCTTTGTTCAGTTCTTAAGTGCAAAAAATCTTCTCTGTCTTAGGCTGCCTTTGTATTTTGTTGTTCCCATATGTGTTTCTGAAGAAAGTATCTTGAAGTATGAAGGCAGAGGCATTCCTGTAAGTATATATGTGTGGCTGAGGGTAAGAAATCTTATTGAGAAGACAAAATTCCAACTAGCATTTTGGATATTGGTGCATGTTATTTTCAAAGCTTGTTTTCTATAACTCACACATACCTAGTCATCTATAGAAGGGGAAACAGATGGTGGGAGAAGTACTCAAAGTAGCCTGTATTCTCTTAAGCAGTACAGAACAAAACTTACATATGGTTCACAGTGTACATTTACTTATCAGATGTCTGGTGTCCTATAGTCTACATATACTGGTAGTCTTTCTATCCATCAGCCTGTTTTTCATTAGAGTGGTTACTGATTGGCATCTAGCTGGGGCAGGATGTAGGGCTTCAAATGCTGTTTGAATACTGAGGTGAAGACCATGCATGTACAGGTAGAGCTGAATACTTCTAGTTATGTAGCTTGGGTGATGATAAGTACTGTAGCTGTGATGATGCATCACTTTTTCAAAGCCAAGTGGCCTAATTGAAAAACTAGCTCTACCAGTTTCAACAGAAAATTAAGTTAAATACATTGTTTTGCACCTCATAGTAGACTGGCTTTGCCTTTCTGCCTGGTACCAGAGTTCAAGAACCAGTAAAGCAGAGTAGATGGAAACAAGGAGCAAAGCAACTTCACTTATGAGGGCTTACATTGGTTGTGGCATGTCCATCAAATTTGCCAAGAAAAACAATGTTCTCTTCATGCATTTAAATTAATTGGCCCATGGAGTAGATAGTGCTCTACTGTTCTGCCTAAGGTGTCCTTTAGGATAGTGAAACTCAAAATAGTTTGATTCACTTGTTCTCAGTAGTCAACCAGGCAAATTACAGTGGCTGTTACACAGAAATGGAAGCAATTCTTTAACTGCATTTTGCATTCATGGGATCATAGAGTAGTTTGGTTTGGAAAGCACCTTTAAAGGCTGTCTAGTAATACCTGTAACTATGCAATCTTATTCAGTTGTAAAAAGTTCAGCATCTTATTTCCTGTGCCTAGATGACCCCTTATGCATGACTTGTGGAAAAGCATGACAGTGTATTTGTTATGAGTTATCTCAAGGCTGAACTATAAGAAAAACACAACTATATCTACGTGGAGAAACTGATGGCTAATATAAGAGTTATTTCTAAAAGCCATCTTGCTATGGCTTATCTTTCACATAATTTGGCCATAAATGTTATGATCAATTTGTTTTTTTTTCCTATGAGAACAGTAGAGGAAGTAATGTTCGGCTATAATCTTGCACTGTATATTTACCTGTTCATGTGTAAAGCTCAACTTAAAACTTCCAAGTGATAACACCATACCGAGGCATGCCTGTATTGAGGCATGGTGCCGGTGTAACAGTTTGCTTCTATTGATGAGTTCACTGAATATACGAAAAATTCAATGAAACACAGCATAGAGAAATTTCTTGTCATCACTTGTCACTTAGGAAATGCTTTGTACAGAGCAGTTTACCAATTTACATCACCTGGTCAATGTTTTTCTGCAGATTTGGTGTTGGTCTTGCCATAATGGTGCTGCTCTTCTCAAAATGTCTGCATTTCCCAAAGAACAGGATGACATCGCTTCACAAACACAAAAAGCCTTCTTGGATGGGTCAGTAATAGCTATTCTGTCCACAACGCTTTGCTTGGTATGGACCTTGCTTCTCTTTTTCCGTATATGCTATATCTTTAAGCTTGCACGCATCAGGAAACAAGTTCTAAATGTAAAAGTAGTTTTCTATAGTGGAATGGGTTTAATCCCTTGGCCTAACAGCACCTGTCAGTTGTGCAGGACTGCAACATCACTGGTGGCTTTGTGGAAATACACATCAGATGAATGTGTATAAACTGTGGTGTATTATTAGGTAAAGCAGCACTAAAGCCCATAGTTCTTAAGTACAGCTAGTGTATCATTAGCTGATGGGCTCAATTATGTCTGCAAGTAAGAGAAGTGTAGACCCCATCTCTAAATATGGATTTGCAAACTGAGTTTTGTTTCTCTGAACTCTGCTGTCTTATGAGAACTAGATTCATGTTCTTAAATAACTTTAAAGTGACCTGAAATGACTGAGACAATCTAGCAGCTCACTGCTGCTACTTTCAGATGTGATGACAGACAGCAGTTTGATTCAGCTGAGGTAGTGAGCTGAATTAGCTCAGCAGTTTGAGAAATGCCAAAGTTAACATAAGGGCAGGAGCATAGCTGCCTGGCTGAGTTACTGCAAGAACAAAAGATGGCTTTTTTCCTCTGCTTTCTCCAACCTGTTGAGTGTCCTTGAGAAAACTTCTCTTCTTGCAGCAAGATGTTAGATCAGGCTAGTATGTACAATTTTTGCTGCTTCACTGCTATCTCCTTTCTCCTTACAGGTGAAGAACCCGTTAATTGCATGGAACTAACAGAAAATAGCTTGATTAGGCTTTTAAAATCTTTCATTTACAAAATTAATTATACTTGCATGGGAAAGGCTTTTGACCCTTCCTGCATTTGCTTTCAAGTTTCTCTCCTGAAATGGAGACGTTTACATGAGTTATAAGTCTTCGTAATGCTATTTCATAATGTGAAAATAAGTAAAACTAGCAGTAAGCTGTAGCAAGGTATCAACTGGTATTTTGATCCCTTGTCTGGAGCCATCTGAACTTGGGACATTATTGGTGGTTTTCTTTGCTGTGGAGTACTGGTGGTTAACCACTAGTGCTTAAAAATTTATCTACAAATTGTCCGAAAGGGTGTGTTAACATGCCATTGTAATAGTGGTCTGAACTCAAGCACATGGCATGTGTTTACAATTAATGGCTTTTTATTGAAAAAGCTGTTCAGAGCCAGATCTTCTAGCACAAACTGTTTGCTTCATCGTGGAACAAGTGTTGTGATTGACAAATGATTGCTTTCCCTTAATTCTCTTATCTGATGCATCTTCCGCTAGGTCTAGTAAAATGCATTTCTGATATGGAACCTGTAGTTCTCACTTTAAGCAGGTTACGGTGCTACAACAAACAAGAAACAAAGTACTCTGTCCTGTCATAGCATTGCCTGCAAGGCTTCGCTTCTGAACCATGAGCTAAGGTAGCTTTTCCCAAATCTTGACAATAGAAAGCCAGTATGGCAACAGAGGTATTTACTAAGCTGATGTTCATCTGAGCTCAAGAGAGTGAATGAGAGGGGATGTTCAAGCATCAAGCAAAGCTTCATCTAGCCTGCTATTTTTTTCCTCTCCTTCTAGGGGAAAAAAATATTGGATACACAGGGAAGTTCAAGGCAGGTATACTGTCTTGTTTGAGTCCAAATTGTTTTTCTTTTACTCATGTGTTTTGCTAGCAGACCTAGCAGCTAGATATCGGAATGTAAGTGGTTGGTAAAAGTCTAGAAAAATAGTGTCTGCTACAAGGTTTATGTGTTTCTATCCATCTTTTCTTTCTGGATTCATCTCTAAACAGCCTGTTAGTGAAGTAATTTTAGTGTTATTTAGTGAAGACAACCCTAAAGAAGCAGTAGCAAAAACCAAGTAATGCTTGTAATATTCATAACTGCACAAATCTTTTATCAGTGGAACAGTTAAGAGCAGCAAGACTTGTCAAAAGCTTGTAGACAAGCTTCCAGCCAGTATTTAAAAATGCTTGAAGGCCATTAGCTTTCCAAGTGTATATCCTTTGGTATTCAGCTTTTTCCCAAAACATGCCCATTAACTTTGTCTTCAGTAATAATAGTTGGTGTATTATTTGGCTTGTGAAGCAGGTGGCTTTAATCTCTTGATGATTTGATTTAGAATCTATAAGACAATTAGCAAACCTCCCTATGAACTCCTGAAGATGGATGACTTGTCAAGCAGCCTTCCCTCTCTGCAAGATATCCAGACAGCATACACAAAATTTAAACAACTGTTTTTGATAGGTAAGTCAAACTTTAAAGTAGTCTTTTGTCTCTAAAGTGACTTAGATGCAGAGCGTAACAAGCATGTTTTATGTCTTATGAATGCAGTCCTTTTCTTGATTAGTGTCTTGATGGTGGTTAAAAGCAGATTTTTAAATATAACTGAGGACTGTGCTTGTGACTGGCATGTTAAGAGGTTTGTAATTTTTAGACTTGGTACCTCTGGCTAAGCAGTCACAGTATCTGCAAGAGTGACTGGACTTTAAATGGTAGTTGGAATACACCAGCTGGATCAGAATTTACAGGGGAGCTTTTTCAGTCCTGTGGGGCCCACTGAAGTTAAGCGTGAACCTTTTAAGCCTTTGTACCATGTCAAGAGATGAGTCCGAATGCCAATTTATTTTTGCACTAGCTTTTGTTACAAACTAGTCACGTCACAAAACGTGAAGCAGAGCTTGCTTAAGATTGTCACTGACTGTAGGACTGAAACATGACTACTGTAAATAGTAAGTCTACTTAAAAGAAGTTAGAGTTGTGAAAGTATAAGCTAGGCTTTTGGACATTTTTATGAGACTCTTAACTATACTGCTGTCATGAAACAGTACTTCAAGCTCACCTCTTGGCATGAAAAAAGCTCCACACGTTGCAGCTGTGCAATGTGCCACTGGACCATTTTGGACAGTGGGTCCTCTACAAGATAATGAGAGTCAATGTTGCAATAGCCTCTAGTGGCATGTGGAACACTGAGGCAGTTCACCTGTGGCTGTTGATGTGGGATATAACTGAAGTGATCATCATTGAGGAACAGTGTATTTGTAGCATAGCCTACAGACAATAACCAAGTCCTGCTGGTTTTATATGTTTATACTTAGCTGGTAAGTTCATATAATTGCAAACAAATGGTTTCTGTCAAATATGTAGTGAAGCTCTGGTTGTTCAGCTGTGGGCACTCCAACATAAGAAGGACGTGGAGCTGTTGGAGTGAGTCCAGAGGCGGCCATGAAGGTGTTCTGGGGGCTGGAGCACCTCTTCTGTGAAGGCATGCTAAGAGAGTTGGGCTTCTTCAACATGGAGAAGAGACTACTCTGCAGAGACCTTCAAGCAGCTTCCAATTCCTAAAATGGGTCAACAAGAAATCTGGAGAGGGGCATATAGTGATAGGACAAGGGGGAATGGCTACAGGATGGAATGGAAACAGGGTAGATTTAGATTAGATATTAGGAATATTAGGAAGAAAGTCTTTACAGTGAGGCGCTGGCACAGGTTGTCCAGAGAGGCTGTGGCTGCCCCATCCCTGGCAGTGCTCAAGGCCAGGCTGGACAGGACTTGGAGCAACCTGATCTAGTAGCAGGTGTCCCTGCCTGTGACAAGGGGGGCTGGAACTAGACAATAACTTTACGGTCTCTTCCAAGCTAAGCCATTCTATTCCTCTATAACCTTCCAATATAACTTAACTTCCCTAAACACATGCCTAAACTGAAGTTTCAATTATAAAAATTCTCATTAAGCAAAGTAGAAACCTCAGTAGCATAGCTGATTGCAAGAGGATTTTGATGGGAACAGCTTGGATCCTCTTAAATTGCTCCTTTTATTTGAAATGTGGCAAAGGCAGATGCTGGTTTTGCTAGACTGCTCACAAGTCTCAGTGTGTGCCACTTGCCCACATACTTGGAGACTTTGAACACTTCAGTTCTCAAATCCTTGTGGAGTACTTCTTTTTATCCTGCAAGATAGGGAGGAAGGGAAGGCTTGCTCTCTCTTGTGAGGTTATTAGCAAAATACCTTGAGTCAGAGGTAAAACAAGCTGCAAGTATTTTGTTGTGCCTTTGAAAAGAAGTTCCTGTTTTGACTTGGAGATAACTTTATCAGGGGGGAGGTAGAACTGCCAGACCAAGCAGTTGTTTCTAGAGACCTGCATACACATTATTGAGTCTAGTTGTGGCTGAGTGTGACAGAACAAATTGAACAGCCAGCCACACTTAATGATTTTGTGGAAAGCTAGTTTCTGTGGTCAGGGTGAAATGAATTAGGGAAAGAGATTTTTTTTTTTTTTTCCTTTAAATGCATCTTGAACAGGAGCAAGAGCAGGCATGGGGGTAGAACGGCTACAGGAAGAAAATGAATATATGCCTGTGCACTTGAGGATCGTAGATGCAAGCTGCAGAAAAGGCAGAAATGAGTATGTGTTAGAATTAAACATTGAAAGGGTACAGAGAGACACTGGGAAGTGAAAAGTTATACAGAAACACGCAGGACTGAAGCTATCAGGGGTAGAATAGGGAAGGAGGGGAGTGTGGTGTACCTCAGTTGTTCCTCAACAGCAGAACTGTCTTGACCTTTGGGGCTTCGGGGTTTGTGCCTTATGCAGGAAAGGTAGTCTGTTCTGGTTTTAATTGATTGTATCAGCTTGAGAGCTTTCCAGTTTCTGAATACTGGCTTTTGGGGGGGGGGGGGGGAAGGGGGAGCAGGGAGGGAGGGCAATAGAGATTTAAGTAGCATTTAAAAAGCTACAGAAAAGCTAGCAAAGTTCATAAGAGTTTAATGGCTTTGTGGTATTGTATTTGGCCTCTTTATCTTAGCTATTCCCTTCTTGATGTATTTCAGTGCCTCTTCAGCTGCAGTGAAAACTGTTTTAAACTTTTTTTTTTTTTGGGTAGTCTTGCATGCCGTAAATTTGTGTAACCTTCTGAAATCCATTTGTGTTTCTGACTGTAATGGTAGTGACTGTCAAAATCCAGCCTCCTTATGTTAAGGTTTACACAGATCATGCTTAAGAGTCAAGGTGAAAGAACCATCACCTCCTGTTAAACTTCTTTTCTTTCCCTTTCCCATCTTGTCAACAGACTTATTTACTTGATTTGGTTGCTGTGAGACTATAGCATACTTTTTGTTAAAGTCTATGGTTCTATAAAACTTTACTGGTGTTTGTAGAACTACTTCACTTCCTCATTTAGTTCTAAGGTGTTTATATACCAGTGATTAGAATTTACTGACTCCATAGTATTGATTGTTTCATAGCAGTTCGTAACAGAAGAGTAATACAATGAATGGCTGTTTATTAGCATTACACATGTGAACGAACCAATTTTTTTGTTGTTGTTTTTCAGATAACAGTACAGACTTCTGGGCAACTGATGTGAAATGGTTTTCGTTACTGGAGAGCACAAACTGGCTGGAGATAATCAGGTTTGCTATATCTCTAATTTCTTGGGTTTCAAATTGTTGTTAAGTACACTTGTCGGTTTTCTAGCTAATTTCTTGAAATATGATGACACTCTTCACCTCCAGTAGAAATGAAATTTAGGACAGATTTATAATCCCATTAAAGTACCAAGTTTTACAACTTGAGACACTGTTTTTATACTGCAGGTTTGTGTTAAGCCTCCACACCAAAAAACCTTGAAGCAGCAAATCATTCCAATTACAGCTCTTCCAGCATACTATTGAAACTATAGGTCCAGTAATTTCCTTCCCACATTTAGTCACCTTCTATTCAAACTGAAGAATATTATTTGTTTCCAGCATAAAACCTATTCTGTGTTTCTGACTAGCCCTGCCATTCTTCTGTGCTCTCTACTTCTGTAATATCCTTTAGGACAGGATGAACTGCAGTATTCAAGATGTTAGCCCACCAAAGATTTATAAAATTACAGCTGCTCTCAGTTTTGTCCCCTTCTTCTGGTCCTTCCTCAAGTTCTTTTTTCTCTTCTCAGCAGTCCACAGTGAGTAACTGTTGGAATGGTGTTGGCTAACTTAAGGCTTGTTACAGTGGAATGTTGAGGGGCTTTGTTTTTAGTGTTACTTTGTGCTAGCTCTATTGTCTGCTAGTTTATTCTGTGATAGGCTTGTTAGCATGAAGTGCTTCTGCAGTCAGCTTCAGTTCTTTCTAGTTTTAATAACAGTCAATACTAATAATTATTCATTCGTTAATCCAAAATTTAAATGTATGTTGAATGAGAGGTTTTAGTGAAGATTGTAGGTGGAGAAATGCACTGACATAATCAAGATTAAAAGTAGTTTAAAGTGAATACCAGCACAAGTTCTTATCCTTGCACTGTTTTGATACTGGTCATTTTCATACTTGGACCCAGTTGCTTCCTGGATCTGGCTCTTCGTGGCTCTTGCAGTTAGTAGGAGTGCCTTCTCAGCTATTCTAGACTAGAACAAGGAATTCTACAACTCCAGACTCAGGAAATAAACTGTCAGCTTCTATTAGTGACTAAGCAGTTGCAAGAATCCTAGCTTGTGTGCAAACTTTTGCTGAAAATAACTGACTTTATGATGAGTTAGGTCTAGAAACCAAAAGCATTAAATCTAGTTTTATGTGATCTTTAACTCCACTCAGTCTTCCTTGTGTAGTGGTAATCTCTGAATAAATTTTATCTGCATGTTTACAGGATCTGATTGCTGATGCTTCCCTCTTTGCCTCTTAAAACCATACTGTGTGAGAAATGTAGTAGGTAGTGGATTACAGCAGAAGTGTGGCGATGTATCTTTCCAGGATAGAGATTAGGCTCTTGGCAACTGTAATACTTTAGTGCGTGTGTGTAATGGCTGCTATTGATCCAGCAGAAAGTATTGTATTGCAAATGTACAACTTGAAATGCATGACCAACGGCCAAACAAAGATACCTCTTGAACTGTTAAGTCTCAAGAGCAAACTTTCTTCATTTGCAGAAGTTGAGAATGGTTTTGTTGTTTTAAAGGACTGATCAAGTCTCAGGATTATGACATTCTAACCCCTTTTAGGAGAAGCTAATATAACAAACCTAATTGTAAAAATGCCATGAAAATATTCACTTTATCTATACCACAACAGGCGAGTTTTGAAGAAAGCAATAGAAGTTGCTGAGTGTCTGGAAAGACAGCAGACAAATGTTCTCCTTATAGGTAAGAATTCAGTGAGATTATCATATATATATTTTTTTTTAAATTTATTTTGATTTTCTTTAGATACAGCTTAAGCTGTAAGTTTATAATTATGGTAAAGGCTGGTAAAATTCATAGAGTACTCAAAGTACTAGACACTTAAATCTTTCACCCTCCTGGAAATGCTTTCTGTAGTTAAAAAAGCTTGGTAAGCATGATTACAGGCTAAGAAATACATTGTGAATGACAAAGCTGCTGCTGAACTCGTAGTAGAGTCATGCTACCTCTTGTTTATGCATTCCTGTTTCCTAACTTCTATTAAATGTCTCTTACAGCCTTTTGCTGTACACTAAGGTAGGGGGGGCACACATACACAAAGAACATGGAGCATGAAAACTTTCTAAAAGGATGGTTTTTATGTTCTAGATAAACTACATAGTATTCAGTGTGTATTAAAAATTCATGAAAGAATACACTTATTGTAGACATCTTGAGCATTTTGTTTTCTTAGGTGGAGTAATAGCATGGAAAAAAAAAGTCAATGTTTAACCATTAAGCTGGTTTTGGATTCATAACTTGATTGGGTTTTTCCCCACACACTGCTATTTGAGAAACCTCGAATGGAGAAGAGATACGTCTAGAAGACACCTGAAGGGTGAAGAATGCGTGATGCATGATTTCACATGTTGTGAAAAGATGCATGGAGGGTAGGAAGGGTAAGGACAGATAGCTGGCCTGGTAGCATAGGAGGGGCAGTATGTGCCTTATGGGAGACTGAAGGGTGTAGTCATCAAAGTTATAGTAGTAAACCATAGGGTTTGCAGGTTTATTGTTAAGTATTGCCCTAGTGTAAGTGTAGAAGAAACCTTACACTTCTACAAATTAGAAACATGGATTAACTTCTCTCTGTAACACTTGGCAATAAATTGTGATTCTCTGACCTTGAAATACAATTTAGTTTATATGAAGCTAGCAAAACTTTGCTTTCTTACCCTAGTTTTAGGAATGGCTTAGTAGACAATGTGGTTTCTGTTGTCTTCTATAGAAGAGAGCGCTACTGATCTGTGCTGTGTAATCTCTAGTCTGGTTCAAGTGATGATGGATTCATACAGCAGAACAAAGTCAGGGTTTCAGAGCCTTATTCAGAAGGAGTGGGTAATTGGAGGACACGGCTTTTTGGACCGTTGTAACCACTTACATAAAAGTGACAAAGAGGAGGTATGATTTTTTTTTTAATTACTCTCCTTATTAGATAAACATTTACTCAGGAGTGATTTAGATGTCAGTCCAAAACTTCCAGTTAATCTGAGGATCTTTAATTTTGTTTTGGTTTATGCGTTGGTGTTTTGTACAGTGTCACTGCTTTTGCTTTTTAGAGTTCAGCAGTGTCTCTAAGGAGAACAAATGTGAGATTTCCCATTTGATCTTGGAGTCTTTTGAAAGATGTGTATCTCGCATTAAACTGTTAAATGGTACTAGTGTCCATAGAAATAACTCAAAAGTGATTTGCCTATTCCTGTCACATCTAGAGTTTAACTTTATACTGTCTTGCTGAATGTTTCAGTCTCACTTCTCCATTTTTGTTTATATTTTGGGATTGCATCAGATTGCTATTCAGAATGGACATCTAAGTGTAAACTGACTGATAGTTCTGATCAAGAATTGCTATAGCTGGTTTTGCTTTGCCAGCTTTAAAAGGCTGCATAGCAGCAGCTTTCATAGCAATTTAATGTGTACAAATTCAGGTTAGAAAGTGCTCCTCTCTTCTGTCAACAATTGGCCAAGAGTGTCTCGGATGATACTTCTGCAGAGTTCAGCCAAAGTTATATGCAGGAGTTCTGTAGTTAACCAGATTGCTTCCCTTAAGGTTTGTGTTTGGAGACACTGAATACTATAAAATAAACAGTCTGCGTGGTGGAACATACGTTTGTGGTTTGGTTTTTTTTTTCTGAAACTGATGTACCATTTTCTTTATTTAGGCTCCTGTTTTTCTGCTCCTGCTAAATTGTGTTTGGCAGTTGGTACAACAGTATCCTCCAGCATTTGAGTTCACGGAAACTTACTTAACTGTCTTGTCAGACAGCCTCTATGTGCCTATTTTTAGCACTTTCTTTTTCAACTCGCAACATCAAAAAGACACTAGTGCGGTAAGCGTTTGTTACTTTATGGATGGAATGTGTTGGAGAACAGGTTTAACCAACAAGCAGGGAACATTCAAAAAAAACAACGAAAATCCCTAGTAGCATGTTTTTCCATCCTTTCCCTTATTTGAAAGGTAAGGGGTCAGGTTCAGGACTTGGGGTGTTTATGATGACAAAAGGAAAACAACTCAGGAATATATTACTTCTAATGTATGAGTATAGGTTCATGTTTATTGTTATTCAGTGAAAATTGAGCTCCCTAACCTAAGAGGAATATCCTGTCCTGCAGGGTAAGTTATGTACAAAATTCTTGTATAGTATATTCTGTTGTATTCCAGAATCAGCATTTCCTGAATGTTGATATACATTTGGTCTATGCCTTTCTTTAGCCGAAGAAGCTGGAAGCAATAGGAGTATCCTCTGCAAGCCTGCACAGTGACTAAAAAATGAACATTGCTGGCTTGCATATAAATAAATTGTTAATAATAAAATTTTAACTGGTAGCACTGCATAACTGCAGTTGACTTTTGAAATGTGGAGAGGTTTTATCCACAATGAAGCGTCTGTCCTCTGCCCAGTATTCAAAACTTCATTTTTTCCCTTAAGATTATTCAGTCTTATTTTCAACTGCAAAAGGTATTCTCGGTGATGTCTAGTTGCACTGTTGAAATGGAATACCATCTGAAGTTAGAAAATAATGTATAGATAAACTTTGTGTCTGTACTCGCATCCAATAATGTCATTCAGCTATTGAATATATACAAATCATGAGTGTTGTTGCAACTCTGTGGCCTCTTCTGTAAAAAGCTGGTTTCTTAATTTCACCTTGACTTGGTCAGAATTCCTTTCCAGCAGTATTAATTGTGACCTGTTTGTTTTGGCAGAGTGGTGAAAGCCTCAAGACACAAAGCGGTCCTTTCAGATTTCTTACTGTGTGGGACTGGTCTGTGCAGTTTGACCCCGAGGCCCAGGCTTTCCTGAACAACCCTTTTTATGCAGAGAAGCCAAAACCAGATAAAAGTCAACGGAAAACTGCACGATTTAAAGTAAGATATGTGCTGCTTAACCATTTTTAAATTATAAATACATTTTGCACAACTCGTATGTCAAAGGTACCCATAATGGAAGTATTGGTGCAAAGTTTTTTTTAATTTACAAAATACCTGTACACCTCACTCACTTGCAACTTAAGAATACAGTTTGCACCCACCTCAGTTATAAATCACTGTGTTACAGTTAGTGCATGTAGCTGTGAACTCAGGGGGTTCTTCTTCATCCTTTAGTGCAAGTGTAGTGATAACTCGTGGGACTTAACATCCAGTTGCAGTGACGTTTTTGAAGTGAGTTTATTTTGTTGTTCCATGGAGTACCTAACTGAATTACAAATCAGGTCTGTAATTGTCTCCCTGATTTTCTGAGTGTAATTGTGGTGTGTGTGGACTTGGAGGGGGGACTACCACCCCCAAAACTGTCTAGGGTACAGGTGATTATGGGTGGACCATCTCATTGCTGGAAACTAGCACAAATTCAGTAAGAAAAGTTTCTTCAGAATAGCCTCTTGTGATTGTAATACCTCTGTTGGTTAAATTCTGTTCTGTAACAGCATTCTCAAGTGAGACACTGTCAATATGATCTACAGTGGTAATCAGAGAACTCTTACATTGTAGGATGCAATGAGGAACCACTGGATAAAACCTAAATCAAATTCTCTTTCATTTGTGTGGCTAGCTCAAGCTAAATATGGAAGTCCATAATACTTGAATGTATGCAAAGAATTCTCCTTTTTCACAGAAAAACACTTTATTCAGTGTTAGTTCATTGCCATAGTTGCAGTGCAGGGAAGGTATCTGGGAATACTAAGTATACTCTGAAGTATTTGGCATATCAGTCATTGAAGAGTAACAGTTTTAGACTATATGGTAAAGCAGTGTCTCTGTTTAAATGACTTTGCTGCTTGTAACTATTTTCTGAATACAAGTTAAGCTTTCACTTCCTCTTAAGATGTGTTCTAAAGTCCCATCAGTATTTATTTCAGTATATTTTTTCTTTCCTCTTAAAGCATCAGCGACAACTTTCTTTGCCATTGACGCAAGCAAAAGCTTCCATGAAGAGAGGATTTTTCAGGGAGGAAACAGATCATTTAATAAAAAACATTCTGGGTAAAAGAATTGGCAAGTTCATAAATTCTTCAGATGAACTTCCTAATAGTTTCAGGGAATTTTATGATAGCTGGCATAGCAAGCCTGTTGACTATCATGGTCTTCTGTTACCTCGCATTGATGGCCCTGAAATCAAAGTCTGGGCACAACGGTATTTGCGATGGATTCCTGAAGCCCAGCTTCATGGTGGTGGTACCATAGCTACAACTGCCAAGATTTTGGACTTGATGGAGGAAGTACAAAGCTTGCAGGAGAAAATGGATGAAAAACGTAGTCAAGCTGTTTCTGGAGATGTACATTCTGTACCAATGCTGAGAAATTCTGCCCGTCTGTCATCCTTGTTTCCATTTGCTTTACTTCAGAGACAGTCTATCAAACCAGCTCTACCCACCAGCACCTGGAAAGACTTGGAAGATGAAGATGACTTGGTCAAGAGGGATGATGAATTTGTTGATCTAAGTAGTGATATGTCATAAAGTGCTTAAAAATTGAAACTATGAATTGTATATGGCTGAACTGTAAATTTTAAATGTTGTGCTGTATCTTCCTATAAGGAACTCACTCAAGCATCTGCAGCCTGGTTTTGAGGTTAAAAAAACAGCTGGGTTGGAAAGAACTAATTGCCATAATTAGCTGAGCATATTTTCAACTTCCATTTCACTCCAACAGTATTTATTGCAGAAACACATTTTCAGCATAACTGATAAAACCAGAAGTCTAGGCTGAAGTAGCTGTATGGCCACTTTGTTAAAGAAAGAATTAACAAACAAAAACCCCATTATTTTCTGATGTAAAGGTCAAATACTAGATATGTACAGCAACAATCACTGTCTTAACATAAAACATCTTCCCCTTATGCCAAGAGTACTAGGGCTGGAAGTACTGTGACTAGGAAAATAATACATCTGCATTTCCCCTCATGTAAAATACATGGGGAAAGTGCAACTAAATATGCATTCACAAATAAGGTTTTTACAGCTGAGGTTTTTACATAAACTTGTGTTTATGTAAAACATAAAACACCAGGGGTTTTTCATCTACTGTGGCATCAGCTGAAGTCCCGTGCCTGCCAACATCATCTTTTCTGACAGCATTCATCTTTGGCTTGCAGCACTTCTCCTTGTGTGGTATTATAATGGCAGCTTGGCTGCTCTAAGCCTGTGCATGCACTTAGCTTAAGGATCAAATGCAAGTCTTACTCATTTCAAGTCTTACTGTGTGGCTGCTGTGCTATATGCCTTTGCTGCCTTGGAATATTATGTCCCAAATATTTGCTGTTAATTGTTAGAAGTGGCCTGACTGTGAGGTTCTAATTTGCTAGGAGTATTTTTTTTCTCCTTCTAATAGAGTGAGACTTCCATTTTTATTTTCCCTGTTTATGCCAGTTGCCTTTGAGGCTTTCTGTAGCTTGCACTGAGACCCTCCACATAGCAGGGAAGACTCTATTTTTCCTGTGATCCTGCAGTGAAGCTGGATTTGCAGCCTGTTGCCACTTGTCATGAGTTGGCGTTTATGAATGTGGTGTTCATACCATATGAACACTTGTATCCTGTTGCTGGATGTTGTAACAGTACCTCAGTGAAAAAAGCCATAAAGAAATGCCTGTTGACTTCTATCTACTGTGTATATGTCTATAGATAAAGTATTTTTACTGCAAATAATCGTCCTTTGTAAAGCTGAATATTAGTTGACTGTTGTTTCTATTTTGAACCCTTAAATTCTAGAGTACCCCAAGAATGGATGCAAGTCATAAAATCAGTTACACTGAGAGGCTAGTCATTGAATACTTTTAGAAATCTCTGCTGGAAAACTTAGCTGGTAGAGAAACTGTTGCTTAAATTGGATCAGCTCAGTGTGATTGGGGATATTAAACTATGTTACTGCTTAATCATTTCACACTGAGTTGTGTCACTATGTATAGCAAAAATGTATCAGCGGGCCTGTAAAAGTGAATTTAACATGTTAAAATAAATGTATCGATGGGGAAAGCGGGAGAGCTTAATGCAACTATGCCAAACTGAAGCTTCTGAACTCTTGATTGCCTTAATTCTTAGTAGAGCGAGGACAATACTTGAGTTTGTAGCATTTTACTTAAACATACACTAGTACTTAATCTTTGTTCTGTGATAAACAGGATCTTACAGATAGCATTTGCTAGGATGGGCTGTCCAGCACATGTTCTTCAGATTTTGTTGTTGTAGTTCCACTGACTCATGTATGCAACAATACTTTGCATGTTGAATGAGCAATGCGTTTTTATGGTGAAATAATACTTATCATTCTAAGATCATTTGGGTTCAAGGTTTAAACACTGCCATTTAAAAAAAAAGTAAATAGATTTTTCTATACTTTTGATCAAGCTGATGTAACGTTTCAGTCATGAAGATTACATATTTATATTAAAAAGCAGATGTTGGACATCTTATTTGTACATAAGTTATCAGAATTTTATATAGAAGAGAAACATATATGTGGAACTAAACATGGGAACACTTCTAATGTAGAATAAATACCATTGTTACTGTTTCTATGCACTGTGGGATTGGAAATTTACTTAATATTTTTACTCCAGGCTTCTGTTTATACCTCCAAGTTTTTACACTGAATGCAAGCTAGAAGCTTCACAGCTTTGTTTTTTTTAAATACTGTCATTTCTCTCCTCTCTTACAGGCTGTTTGGAGAGTATCAATAAAATATACTTTGTATTTGTCCTGAAATGATAATGTGTCTAAGGTCATATTTTGCAAATGATGCTTTAAACCACAGAGACGTGATAATCTGCCGTGACAAGGCTTTTCTCATTAGGTGCTGGGTTTTTACAGACTGCTATGTATAGGAAGCTGCGCAGTTTTGACTGGGTTATGCTACTGGGGAGGTGCTGTTAGCTCAGGAAAGAGGAAAGTTCAGTGCAAAGGGACAATGGTTACTAAGGTGGTCTAGAAAGTGTCTGTTGAATGTCAGTATTTGAGGCTTTATTAAACTCTTTATTTCAGTGTTCCTATCTTCCCCATTGCAGGGGGAACTCTGTGCTGCTGTGGGTATTTTCTGAAGAGAATATTACAAGACACTGACACACTTGCACTTGAAGTCTCAGGCAGCAACAGCCTATGCAGTGGCTGTGAAGTGCCCCATGGTGCTGTAACACAAGGTGTGTCTCTGCCTCACCCACATCTTGTAGGGATCGGTGTGTACTTTGGCCACTTAGCTTTGATTTAAGACTGTATTCACTAGTGAAAATGCTCAGCTATTGATTTATACCGTATTTCAAAGCAAATGCATACTTTATAAAGGTACTCGGGGCCAACTTTGCCTCCCACTCTCTTGCTCCAGTTAAAACTTTTTCCATTCTTCTCAAAGCACTCAAGTGTAACTTCAGGGGGTGGTGAAATCCTTCCTGCTGTGCATGTCTAGCAATGGATTAGATTTGTCACAGCAGAGATCACCTTAATTCTGATCTTTAGCTGTAAATGTCATACCCAGTACTTATTGCCTGGTGCTGTCTTGAGAAGAGCTAGGCTTTACCTAAAACTATTTGGGAATTATGTGGGATGGACTCTATTTCCTGGGACAGGGAGGAGATGAATTAATGAACTCTAAAAAAAAAGCATTCTATATACAGAACCTCATGTGCTCTTCCAGGATTAATTTACTGGTTGAGGGTGGGGTGGGAGGGGCAAACACCTTCTGATGGACTCGGGTCCTTTATCTTGGTTTATAGTGAAGTTAAATTGTGGCATATGCTTTTTGGCAGGATGGCAGAACTCTCAGCTAGAGGAGTTACCTTGGAAAAGAGTGGACATAGAAGGTGAGGATAGCTGATGTTTCAGCTGGAGAAACATTTCTGTGGGGAGAGCACCTCCATGCTGAATACAAAAGGAGTTGAAATGGGGTTGTCCAGGCTGTGTTAGGAGTATGTAGCAAAGACCACAAATAGTTGTGCCTCCTGGGGAGGCTGTCTTGAGGTGTAAGTTTGACTTGAAGAATATTAGCTTTAAACCTGTTAGGAAGTTTAACCATGCCAAGTGCAAGGTCCTACACCTGGGTCGGAGCAATCCTGACAGGTTGGGCAGAGAAGAGATTCAGAGCAGCCCTGTGGAGAAGGACTTGGGGGTGTTGGTTGATGGGAAAATGAACATGAGCTGGCTTCAGTGTGTGCTCACAGCCCAGAAAGCCAACCGTATCCTGGGCTGCATCAAAAGGAGTGTGACCAGCAGGTCAAGGAGGTGATCCTGCCCCTCTGCGCTTGTGAGACCTCACCTGGAGTATTGTGTGCAGTTCTGGTGTCCTCAACATAAAAAGGACATGGAACTGTTGGAACAAGTACAAAGGAGGCCACGAGGATGATCAGGGGACTGGAGCACCTCCTGTATGAAGACAGGCTGAGAAACTTGGGGCTGTTCAGCCTGGAGAAGAGAAGGCTGCTTGGAGACCTCACAGCAGCCTTCCAGTATCTGAAGGGGGCCTATGAGGATGCTGGGGAAGGACTCTTCATTAGAGACTGTAGTGATAGGGCAAGGGGTAATGGGTTAAAACTTAAACAGGGAAAGTTTAGATTGGATATAAGGAGGAAGTTCTTTACTGTGAGGGTGGTGAGGCACTGGAATGGGTTTCCCAGGGAAGTTGTGAATGCTCCATCTGTGGCAGTGTTCAAGGCTGAGTTGGACAGAGCCTTGGGTGACATGGTTTAGTGTGAGGTGTCCCTGCCCATGGCAGGGGTGTTGGACCTAGATGATCTTAAGGTCCTTTCAAACCCTAACTATTCTATGATTCTATAAGGCTGAGAAGAGGCCAATAGGATGGATAACATCTGGACGAGCACTTGTATGTGCTTGATGCTGCCACGTTTTGGGATACAGTGAAGCCTTGTTCTCACATGGAAATCCTATGGAGCAGTAAATGCTGCTGCTCTGTTGTGGCACAGTGCTCCACTGTCAGTAAACATTTGGTCCCCCAGGTTTTTTATTTTATCACTGCAGTAAAGTTAAACAGGTACTTGCCTAAATGTTATGCCTGGGTGCTCAAAGCAGGCAGATAACATGTACCTATGAAGTGCATCTGTTAGTTTGTGAACAGCAGAACTGTGAATGTTGCTGCGTTGCCCTGTCTGGCCATACCACATTTCCCTCAACTTCATCCTTTTTTTCTGGCGTTTCCTGCCCTTACTCATAACCATAGCATCTTCCATCCTCCTTCCATCCACCTCCTCTCTGTCCTTAAGTCACATGCTGTACTAGCCATTAATAGGTTTGTCATTGCTACTAACTTGATGGAGAAGCCAAATTCAGTATCTTGGCTCCTGGGGGACCAATTAAATGGAGGTGACTTGGCATGGCCAAGCTGTATCACCTCCAGACTGTCTGTTGGAATCGAGTAACGTTCAGAATCTGTCAAATACAAGCAGAGTTATCTCTTGGTTTCCAAAGCTTTGGTGGAAGCTGCGTGGTTACTAAAGAAATGGGGGTGGGAGAATGAAACTAAAATGCCTGTACCTGCAGCTCAGGCGTAATTCTAATCTGCAGTTTCCAGGCTAAAAGCAATGCTACTCCCAAACATGGAAATCTGCTGCTTTACAGTCTGATCAGGTAACCCAGTTTTCTCTTAATGCAACAGTTTTCTCCATCTTGGATAATGTCTCGTTTTGTGTTCTGAAAGAGACTTTTCATTTTACTGTAGGGAACTGTTGAGTTTCCTGGAAATCAAATGACATTTGCATGACTTCTGAAAAGTCATAATCCTTATTATTTTATTCCCGTCAGAAGAAAATTCCCAATTAAGAACAGCTAACACAGCTGGAATTAATATGGTTTTGCTAATTAAGTGTAGATCTTCAAATATTTTATAAATACTAGTAAGCTTTTAAGTGTCAGAGTGTTGTGGGCTTGCTAGCTAGCTCACTTTGCAGTCAGTGGGATTCACTTCCTTTTGTGTACCTACAGGTATTGTTTTACAGTATGTTTATAGATGAATGTGATGATAGGGAAGCAAATTTAATGCAGAGGGTGTAAGTGTCATTGCTTCGTGTTTTGGTGATGATGGAAGAATTTATTTTAACTTCCACTATGACTCCAATTCAGAAATTAAACCAGTGTGCTCCTCACCAAGCTCCTTAAGCTCCCAACACAGATAAACCCAGTTTGTTTCCTACAAGCCATTTGCTGCATTGGCCATCCAGTTTCTCATCCCGAACTTTCCACTGTGGGTTCACTCTTAAAAAAAATCTTTCTTGATGTGCTTTTCTGATGGCAGTTCATTTACCTTTGGAAAAGACTGGTTTTATACCTGCCAGCTATACTTAGTTTTAACATGTCATGATCTTCTGAGGTGGTGGGAATAGCTGAAGGTCAAAAAGTAAGTACTACGGGTCTTTTCTAAGGGTAGGGTCCCTTGCTTCCCTGCCAGTAAGGAGCATGGCATCTCTGGAAGTTGTCCTGTAGTAACATAAAAAATAATTATTTAAAATAAGTAAAATCCTCCTGCGCAGC